AGTTTATTCTCAATGGCAATGAAGTTCAATGTTATATAATTGGCAAAATATCACAATAACATTTAGAAAATATAATTTAAAAGCACATTAGTCATATAGTGGACAAGTTAAATTGTACAACTAATTTTGACTTTCAAATTTTAAGTTTTTCAAGTCAATTTATAATTAGAAACTTATTGAATTTGATTCAGGCTCTTATAACGACTTAACTAATTTTTCTTAAATAATCACGAGTGTTTAACTTAGATACCAAGTGGAAAAAGAGACAGAGATAATAGTACTAAAGAGATTATCGTAAAAGAATAGAAGAGAAGCCAACAATAAGACGTAAGAAAAAGAAAGAGTTGGGAATCAAATATTCAATTCATTATTACAATTCTCCAACTAATTCTTAAACTTATTAGACCTTAAAAGAAAGGAGATTATGCATCCTTTATTGCATCAAAACTAAAAGAAAGCATGCTTATAAACTATGACAAAAGAGCATCTAATGATCATGATTATATATCCAATGTCAATAAACATTTTAAACTTTATCTTTTATAGATTAATAGCACAATTATGACATTTTTACACTTTTGGAAGCTCAACCAATAAAACACTAAGTGCTCTCCAAATTGACAGGCAAATCGGATGCCAAATTCAAATCAACAAAACCCTAACTATTGCATTGCCACATAAAGCATCAAAGAGGAGAAGAATCAATCTTGTACACTTTTCTTGTTAGTTGTATTTGCAGAGAATGATGTTAACCTCCTCCAACTTGCATTAAAAGAATGAAGATAAGCAATTGGAGTATGATATCATGTTTAGATTGGAATCAATTGTTAATGGAGGAAGAGAACATGGCAGATTAATGGAGAATCTATCATTTTCCTTTGTTTCCATTTGATTTGTCCATGGCCTCAAGTCAAAAGGACACTCAGGTTTTGTTCGGAGCAGATTTTTGACTCTTTGTGACGAGAAAAATATTTAGTAAAAAAATAACGTGTTTGAAAGATAAACTTTTTATTGTTTTGAAAATTTTGTTTTTGAAAAATAAAAACTATTATGAAAATGTAACTGAAAAATGAGCTTTTTTTTTTTGAAACTGTGCTAAGTTTTGTTTAGGATAGCTTTCTTACTGCTTTGCCTTTCATATTACAATCATAATTTTTATTTGATTACTGTTTTTTCACTGCTTTCAACAATTTTATTATGCTGAAAAATTACTTTCTTTAACAACTTAAAAAAAATTTACTTTCTTCACAGCAATTTTAAAATTACCATTATAAAAAAACTTCAATCATTTCAAACAGATCTTTATCTTCTGAGAAATTTGACCTACTTGAATAATAGAACTTATCATTATTAGAATATCCTTATGTGAAATATGTTGGGATGGATTTTAAAAACGTCATTTTGTGTTGCACTAATCTCAATGTAAATCGGATGCCCTTAAAACCATCATTTTTTTTTGTATTTAATATTTATTAAAACAAATGAGGTTTTACCCATTAATCCAGCCAGCTGAATAAGACATTGGATATTAACTGCAATGAAAGATGCTGAACCCACGTTTAGCTGGTTTTGAGCTTCATTAGGTTTCGTTTCTTTTCATATATATTCCCTTTATGTTCTAATTTTATAAGAAACCTAAAAGTTGAATCATTCTAAGGTTTAGGGATAATTTCTTTGCAAAGAATCTTATAGATTTTAACCTACGAACAAATTTGGTTAAAAATAAACGACATCAGGTTTGGTCTAAGATTTCATGTCCCCTCATATTACCTATGAGTAACCCCAATTTATATGTAAAGATCGAGAGACGATAATGATAAGTTATAGGATATAACAACATCAAGTCTTTATTCCGCTACGTGGGGTCGGTTACATGTTTCCTTTTTCTTCATTGTGTCATTTTAAAAGTTAAATTCTTATTTAAATCTAATAAAGAAATATCATTTTTAATATTTTCTAATCAAGTCTTAGGTCTACCTATACCTTTTTGAACATAAGTCGAATTTAATACCTTTGCTTTCCTAACAGTGCCATCAGAAGGTCGTCGTTTTATGTGATCAAACCATCTAAGACGACTCTCTCTAATCTTATCTTCCACTGGAACTACTCCAACCTTTACACGTGTATGCTCCTTTCATATCCTATCTCTAAGGATAAAGCCACTCATCCACCAGAGCATCCTCATATCTACAACATTTAACTTAGGATTATGGTTCTCTTTAATGGCCAAATGATAAGTTATAGGATGAAAAAATAAAAATAATTTTTTGTGAAATTAGTTATTTAATAAGTCAAACTTATAATTGTTCACTTGGTAGAAATTTCTAAGGAATTACGAATAAATTTAAACACTTAAATTCTTTTGCAACTCAAAATTTTGGAGAACAACATGCTTTAACAAATTTTAATGAGTTTCGAATTATGAGTTATTTAGGCCAATTTGTAATCACTGACTGATACTTCCTCAAAAATTGTTTTAATCGATCACAAATCTCGAAATATATTCAAATTGAAAATTTTCAAAATTAAATTTGGGATCATCTGAATTTCAATTGCAGCAAACTTATAGTCAAACTTAACATCTCAAAGTGACAATCCTAACGATACAAAAATCGGTCCAACCCAAGCCCAAATGGCTCCAAATTGGTGGCCCGAATCACATTCAGCCCGACTGTAGTCGGATCACTACTCGGCTGTTGTCTTTTGTCAAACTTTAGCCCAACAGTCGTCGGACCACTACCTGACAGCCTAGCGCCGTCAAACTTCCACCCTGTCGCCGACCAATGCCGGACTTCAGCCCGACCATCGTCAGACCCCCGCCCGACTGCCGATTGCCACCGAACTTTATCCCCACCTTCGTCAGACCAACGCCCGGCCACCAGCCGCCAAACTTCCACCTTGCCACCGCCATACAACCACTCGGCCGTCAACCTCTGCTGGGCTTCTGCCTAGCTGTCGTCAAACTTTCGCCCAGCCGCCGACCACTACCAGATTTTCACCCTACCGACAACCGCCGTTTGGCCTCCTCTTGTGGCCAACCATTGATGGTCCTCCACCAGGCTACCAAATATAGACCCTCAACCTTCATCACCAGACAATGGTCTTTCTGACCTTCGTTGCTCACTGGTTACGGTCCTTCTTACCTTCGTTGCTCGCTAAATACTATCCTTCTGACCTCTATTGCTAAACAATGGTCTTTCTGACCTTTCTAACCACTGTTGCCCTTCAACTATGGTACTTCCAACCTTCGTCGCCTGTCGACTATGATCATTCCGACCTTCATCATCATACAATTGTCTTTTTAACCTCCCTCTCTCTCCACTACGGTCCTTCCGACCTTTTGTTGCTCGCTGGCCATGGTCCTTCCGACCTTTGTCGCTATACAACCGTCTTCCCGGCCTCCGTCGCTAGCCGACTACAGTCCTTTTAACCTTCGTTGCCCACCAACTTTGATCCTTTCGACCCCTGTTGCTAGACAATGATATTCTCGACCTCCATCGCCCACCGACTATGATCCTTCTGACCTTCGTCACCCTCTAACTATGATCCTGCCGACCAAAACAAATAAATGTTTGTTCTTCCAATTTCCACTGTGTAATGCACTCTATTTGATTTATATTTGCTACATCAGACCAAAGCCTTCCCCAAGGAAGGCCCTCATTTGTAATTGATTGCAAACATTAGCGGATTCATTCAAAATGGGTCAGGCCCAATAGTTAACCCCTTTTCAAAGGATTCAACGTAAGAACTCTGGTGTCTCTTATGAACGCCACACCCTCTCTTTTATCTGCTTATGTGTTAGATCTTTGTACAAAGCTAAGACATTAAACTTGATATTTCTCTACCGCCGCCGAATATTCCAAGACGAAATACTGACCAAATGAATCTAATTTAAGTTAATATCTAAAAAAATATATTGAACAAAATAATCAAGCTATAAAGGCCATCTAATATTTGTTATTTCACCATACTTTTAAGCCAATCAAAATTACAACTATAAAATATTAAAAGAGCTACCAAGCAAGTCTTCAATTGGATTTACAATTCCTTTCACTTCACTCACTCTCTTAGAATCTTAGAAGTCACAAAATAATAATAATAATAATAATAATAATTCAATGTTTTGAAAATCGGATCAGACTGGCCGATTCAACCGTGAACCAGTTAGGTGATCAGTCAGATCTAGCTCACATAACCGGCTTCGCATCGAACCAGATCAAAATGACAGTTTAACCGATGAACCGCTGAATCGGTCCAGCTTAGAAAGAATCGGCCGATTATATAAAAAATTTTAATTTTCTTTTAATTAAATGTTAAATAATATAATTTAATTTATTACTTTTTTTAAATATTTTTATTAAATATATTTATAAAATTTTATGATATTTTTTAAAATTTTATAAATATTATAAAATGATCATATATTTATATAACATTATATTAATTTTTTAAATAATATTATTATTAATTACATCATCCGATTTAACCCCAATTCGACCAATCAAATTATGAAACTCTTCTTTTTCAATTCATTGTCTGATCTGATTTTAACAACCTCGATCAAATCGTGTGAGCTTGTAATCTTAACCTTTGCAGGCAATTATATTTTGACCTTTTCAATTTAGCTCAGAACTCCTTATAATATATCAACATATTTAGCAGCTTTTGTTAAGACTTAAGACCCTTTTTTTATTTCTTTATTTTTCAAAAATTCTTAATAACTTTAAAAAAACATGTTTTTTTTCAACAATAGTTCTACAAACAAATTTTTTTAAAAAAAAAATCTATAACCTCTCCAAATAGATCCCAAAAGTGAAAAAAATAAATTTTCTCTGCTTTTCTTTTCAATCAATAACAATAATTTCATTTAATTACTTCTATAACATTATTTTAATAAATCTAGCTAATAAAATTATTTTTCTTTATAAAAATTTTATAATCAACAACCCGTAATCATAAGAGGTTGAATTTTGAACGCCATAACAACACATCAAGACTCGTAAAGACAAAGTAATCCAAATATCTTAGATTAATCACAGATATGTGTTACATTTCTTAACCTTTCACTAACAACACAAAGTTCTATCAATTCCACCACCTTTTTCTCTACCCTCTAAAAATACTTTCATTATTTTAAAACAAAGTAAAACAGATTTATCTCAAAACAACTTAATTAGCATCAAATCAATATAGCGACACTTTTGCTTAACGCGTCAACCGGCAACTAATCCGCATAAATGATAACTTAACTTAGCCGGCAGGGAATGACAGTTGGTAATTAATTGCCCAATTTGACTTCAACGGTTGCGCATTTATAGACAAGTCAACAGCACCGGTACGCAAAGTCGACGCGAGTCAGCACCGCGGGTCCCGCGTTGCCCACTATTTTGACCCGCCCGATCACGGACTTGAAATGGAAATTAAATCCGTCTCACATCCGCGCTTAAATGAACTAATCCAATTTCTCCTACTTTCCAATCTTTTTTTCGCTTTTACAGATCACCCCCTCTTGGGATAGCAAAAATAGAAAAAAGTTTGTAATGGAAGATACGCAAGTGCAAATAAAAAAAAGGGTGAATGCTGATTGGAGAAGAGAGAAAGAGATGGACGGCTCAGATCTTGCAATGGGTGTTGTCCGAGACGATGGGATCGGACGGTTGAGAGTGGCGATGCTCGCCGTCGTAGGTTACGATGAGCATCGACGGGTCGTCCGGCGCGCGCTCGACGTGCTTTCTGGCCGGGCAGCCGCGGAGACTGCTGCACTTGTAGTAGCCTCTGCGAGAAAAGTGAGGAGTTAGAAATTAGGGTTAGGGTTTCTGCAGGAACAGATCCATGAAATGAGAGCAGTCTGATTATGATAGGACGTTGAGTAATACCTTGGGTAGGGTGAACCCTTGATCGGCTTCTGGCCGTATTTGCGCCACGAGTATTCATCCGAGGGGATGTCGGCCATCTTCGAGCTGATCGCCGGCACTCGGATCGTCTTCTTCACGCGATTCTTTCTGCACGAGGAAGAAGATTTTAGGCGCATGTTAGCTGGGAAGCGTTTGATAAATTAGCACAGCATGCGCTGACGGAAAGGGGAATTGGAAATTCAGCTACATACCGGCGCTTAGAGCAGTGGCAGCGACCTCCAGCGAACCTCCCAGCGATGTCCTCGGAATGGGCATGACTGGGGCATTGCTTCTTGCTGGCGGAGGATAAGGGCGGCTTACTGCGGACTGCACCGCCTGCAGAAATTGCAGGTGCTGGGGCCAGGAGGACGGAGGAGGACCCCCCTTCTCGGCCATTGGAAACGCTCCCATCGCCGGTTATTGAAGACAGGAAGGACGAGTTCGTTGACGACATTGGCGCTGACATGCTGAAGCTATTCTTGATGTATTTCGCCGATGTTGCCGCAGCAATATTTAAATCAACCTTCGATGCGCCGCTGACGGGGCTCGACTTGGTGAAATCGAGCGTTAGGCCCTGTAACTGAACGACAGGGGCCGTCATCGCCGGGGTCGGATGGAGCGAAACAGACGGTTGCGGCGGGGTTGTGACGACAGATGACGCGAAAACACCTGCTGGGCCGCGTCGGAATCGCGCGTGGCCGGTGCGATTGAGTATAGAGATCATCTTCTTGAACTTGGATACGGTATGTTCAGCGATCTCCCGGCAGTCGATGTTTGCTTCCGACGAGGCAGAAGTAGAAGAAACCGAAGATTTATGCTGGTGGCGGTTGAGATGAAAGATGAGGTTCTCCATTCCCCTGAAACCCGCAGCCGCCGCGTCCTGAATCGACATCTTATCCTCCATCTTTGCGTAGCCAATCAGATCAACAGCCATCTCACTACAGAAACCCTACTTCTCTAGCCAAGCATGAACAACAGAGCTCTACGAAGAAGAATTTAGAGGCGGCCTGAATTTACAAAGAAGACAAGGGGAGGGTGGAAAACATAAAGGCGAAGAAATTAGCGTGGAGTCAAAGTCTCCAAAACGATGCGGCTTCTCGATGGACGGTCAGGATGCATTTGCATACTTTCGTCCTCGTGGACTTGGACTGGTTGCCGCGAAGCGTCAGTTATAAGTTGGACTTTTCCAATAAATTATTAATAATTTAATAAATAGCTGAAAATCTTCCGATACTGCGCCGTTCGTATCTTTGATCTCGGCGCTATGAGCAATCTCTGCCATTCATTTTGTGTTTCTTATTTGCCAGCTGTCAGCGTCGTCTTGACGTTCGGTCAACCTTAGAAACTTTTTTTTTAAAAAAAATTATTTAGGCCGATTAAGATGCAGTAACACATCACATATACATGACTTTTTTTTTTATATAATTGAGGGCTTAGCCCATTTTCATTAAAATGAAAAAAGAATACATGAGTAACCTGTAAAAGAACAAAAAAAATGGATTTTTACATACATAACACTTAAAAATTTCTTATTTACTCATCTAACACCTAAAGTTGTATATTTACACACCTACCACTTAAAACATATTTTACTTTTTAAAATATCACTCTGTTTTCCTCCGTCAAAATCTTGCCCGATTACTGCACGATGATGGCTGAATCGCTCTTCGGCCTCCCATCCGACGATTCATAACTCATCTCCATAGGCAGCCCTGATGATGCCAAGGCCACGAAGCTTTTGGAGAAAGCAAGGAGGAAGCTTGCATTGTTAAACACTTGCTATCACAGAGCTTACAACCAGTTCTTCTATAGTTGTGAAGAAATAATCTCCAGTAATGAGAAACAAGAAAAGCTGGCATGGATGCTCAGTGACTGCTTCCAATTGGATTTTGGGAGACATGGGTTCTCGTCCTGCAATGATGCTGGGCCGATGATGAAATGCATTAACAAACTAGATGATGCAGAGCACAAAGTATTTCTTGAAATCTATCTAGAAGCTAATGCCATCTGCCACCAATTACAGTTGAGTTTTGATTAATAAAATTCCACACTCAATTTCTTGGATTACCTTGTATTTAAAAGAATTCGACATGTTTTCTCTTAGAAGCGATTCAGCTTCGTCTAGATGATCGCCCAAATTGGAGAAGGTGGGCGGCGTTTCGACGGGAAAGGAGATGAGTTTTGGCGTTCGACGGAATGGAGAAGATGACCAAACATTAAAGGAGAAGAGGAGCTGCTCAAATAAGAGGCAGAGAAATGAGTTTCGCACGCAAACAACCATTATCGTTGACGGAGGAAAACAGAATGGTATTTTAGAAAGTAAAATAAGTTGTAAGTGGTATGTGTGTAAATAGACAACTTTAGGTGTTAGATGAGTAAATAAGAAACTTTTAAATGTTATGTATGTAAAAATCCAAAAAAAAAAAAAGGTGCAAAAGTACCGTGCAAAAAGAAGGCGACAATATCCTACATGGAGTTAAGAAAATACAAACAAAAATTGCATTAACTCCAACAAAACATCATCTAAAAAACATGAAGTAATCAATCAGCAAAAGCCAGATGCACAAAAGATAGAGACTTCCCCATCACGAGCTCAAGAATTGCCAGAGCTCTAACGACCTGGTTGCAGTAGCCCTAATACTGCCATCCAAAGGGAGAACCAAGGCAATTCGATCATCATTGCCCATCTGCAGCAACACATCCAACTCGATAAAAACCTTGCAGCAGCCAAATAAAGCACCCAAACGGAACTTCCTGCTATAATTTATAATAAATCCAAGAGCAGATATCCACGCTTCCATTTCAGAATCTTATAAAAAACTGCACTTTTAATTTTTAGAGCAAGTGTAGTGGAAGAGGCTAAGGAGTTGCCAAACTTTCGTTCATTTCTTTCCCGTCAAATGTGATATACCGTCTCCACTTATTTTCCCCACTAGTGCATTCAAAAGTTTGAAGAATATTGGGTCTAAGTAGGTGATTTTTCATACTATGTATGAGCTAAGTGAGCATAATAAAAGAGTAGTTGCATTCAAAAAATAGATGTGTGATGCTCTCATATTCAGAATGACAAAAATAGCAGATTGGTTCTACAGTAATGCCCCTTAGATTTAAAACATCAGTAGTCTTCAATCCACTCACCAAGGCCATCCAGCAAAAGGTAGAATACCTAAGAGAGAAGCGTTTGTGCCAAACAAAATAGTGTCAAATAACCATAGGCTCATTGCTATAAAAGTATTGAATATAGCTGCTGTGTTTAACCTCCCCATTTCCCAAAATGATGCTTTCATTGTTTGCCGAATTAACAGAAATAGAATTTAATGCACAGAAGAGGTCAGCCGGTAAATTGGTTAGAAGTTCCCAACCATGCTCATGCAGTATAACATATATTCTAGAGTTAGTCGGAAAACGATTAATTAAAGCATGTATAAGAGGCACCTCTTTAAGTAATTTGTCATTAACCTAGTGATCCCAATAAAGAGAGATTTGGGCTTTGTGAAACTGAAATACATCTTCGATATAGCTGCCATTTTACAAAAGTATTTCCAAAAGGAAGTGGCCTTCGAGACAGGAGGCTTCCAGGGAGACCCATAATGATGCAAAAACCAAGAGGCTAAAGGATTGCACTCATTGTATAATCTTCTTATAAGGGCACAAGAGACGCTAAATTGCACAGCATGTAAGGAGGGAATCCCTAACCCTCCAAAAATTTTTGGTTTGCAAGTGTTTCTCCATGAAATAAGGTGCAATTTACAAGTTGTTGAGTCTAATGAATAGGTTGTTAAATCTAA